GACCGAAACCATGTGTACCGCCAGCGCTAACGCTGGTGGTACAATAATCCTGGATCCGCCCCTGCAGTGCTCTACTCACATCATGCCCAGCTGGTGGATTCCAGGTAAACTGAACTGGCCGCTTGCTGCCTGCCTCCACCTGACCCTGGAGGAGACAAAAATGCTTTCTTAGACAAAAATGCTTTCTTATCCACAGCTCAACTAACACAATTACAAAGACAACACAATGCTATGTGCAGCAACCACAATGAAAGTGTAAACTATGCATGGAGAAGACATTTCATTCAGATACCTAATACAATTCTGTAAGTGTTTACAGTTGGAAAGAACAGTACTAAAATGTAATGAAAACCTTAACTTGCAACTGTTGAGTACAACAAAAATATGGAATCTCTCTTTCTCTCTCTAACCCACAATATCAATTCCTTTTAAACAGTTCTCAAACATTTACTACACTTTTCACTGCCACAGTTCCACAATATCAGATTGTATTCTCACTTTAGGTGGATCCAGTGTGAAGCCCTTGGCTTCAATGTCCTTGGTGTTTTCAAAACTGAACTCTCCATTCTGAAATTTAAGAAGTTCATCAAAAGAGAAAATTAAGTAGTAGACAATCACATTGATTAGCAAGCAAATGCACAATGTACAGGGTTAATATCAGCAATGTTGAGTGCTCAGCAGTAAGCAACGATAACACTACATAATCACTGTGTGCAATATTTGATTAAAAGCCTTGGTTAATGGTTGTACATCAATCACATGCCGCACTTGGCAGAAAACGGCACTAGTCACATTACGCAAAGGTTAATACATGTACACGCTAGGCTTATTGACAATATGAATTGTTAGAAAAAAACAACAACAAAAAATGATAACATTTCCCCATACCTGTTTCCCTGGCTGCAGTTACACAAAAGTCACAACATGAAAGTTAAAATGGTCAGGTTAGTAAATGTGTTATCAACAAAAAAAACGTGCACTGACAAACAACCAACAGCAAGTGGGACTTTCTCAGTATTGTAAATAAACTTTGACACGACAGTAATTACTGAAAAAAAAAAAATGGTTTAAAAGTTTAATATTATTGTAGGCACTGTGGCTGTACATATGGACCTCAGAAAATGAATTGATTATATTTAATACTGGCAAAGATACTACGAACATGTGTGTGTGTGTGTGTGTGTGTGTGTGTGTGTGTAATATACACCTGATACTCTTGTTATCACTTCTATTAATGGGTATTTAAGGGGGAGTTACAAGTCTAAAGGTTAATCACAGTGATGTGGGGATTGGGAGATCCTAATTTAAGTGCCAGTGGGAAGAGTATTCATGCATTCTGGGTATTGTACAGCTAATCAATCACCCTGACTTCCGAAGGTTACAAGGAAAACATCTAATTATTGGTATATATCTGCTATTTCCAGGATGTTGGAGTTGAGTTTCAGATTAATTCTGAAAACCAGGGTGCTCTTTAATACATCTTACTTATATTAATTTTTCCAACTAAATATGAAATTAATTAATTGGTGCAAAAAGGAAGACTATTTTATATAAAATACATATAATTTTTAATTTTGACAAGGAATACCACCAGAGAGTGAGGGAATGGTGAGCTACGTAGCCAAGTGCAGAATCAAAAGCTAATAAATCATTTTGCAGTGGTTTGTGCATATGCATACTCTAGCACTTCCTGCCCGCACACTGCCTGCGCGACTCCCTGGACGTGCACTGGCACGACTTCCTGGGCGTGCACTGCCAACACGTGCACTGCCTGCACGAGCACTGCCAGCACGCGCACTCCGGGCCCTATGTGAGCGGGCACTGCTTTTCCTTCTGTCCATGCTTAGCTGTTAGTTTTAATTTCAAAACAGAAGAAAGCTGAGCAAAGTGTTAAAAAATTAATTCATAAACACCTAGAATTAACTTATTAGAGGGCACAATGCATGGCGTATGCTGATTGCAAGGTTAATTAATAATTAAATGTTTTGCTGAATCTACATCCCGTTTAATAACAAATAACCACACATCACAAAACAAAAGGACCAAGACTCAATCCGAGGCATTTCCTCAGGAGAAATGGTCACAGATAAACAAGACAACACATCATGACATGACATCAAGATGACAAAAAAGTGTTGACAAAATATACCATCTTTACATTACATATGTTGCTTATTATCATAGAAATACAATAATTAAACATTACAGCTGCTATAGTTACACCATGTAATCTTTCTATGAATTATGATTCTAAGTGAAATTTAAAAAAAAGCCATAATTATTTTATAGGTGTAGCTCTCAAAGTACTCTTTCAATCACAAAAGTGATAACAAGTTACATAGCACCCCTGAGGACCCATGTAATGTGACAGAGAGGCCCCCAAGATAATTAGTCCGCTTCCCATTCCTTTCTACTGGTAAACCTCGCCCTAGATTTTGACTCACTTAGGCCAGGCTTACCCTAACCATTATAACTAAATGGAGCGTGGACATTCTGTTACACTGACCCTCAGCTATGCAACACCTGCACTGCAGCAGGTCTTGGGCTCTATTCTCCAAGACAACAGCATTACCTTCTTCTGGCTGACCGCCATCGTCCTGACACAGCCAACCAGCAGCTCCCTGGAGGCCGCAGAGAACCCCTCCTCACTGGACACACTGTTGAAGGTCAGCAACACGGGGATGGCAGAAGATTTCACCTCTGGAATGATGATAATAGTTATAACAGTAATGATGCTAACAGACAGACTGAAGTTGGGCCAAAAAATCTACCATATTCTAAACTATAAATCTTGAATTGCACGGCCTTCAACTCCTTACCCCTGAATACACCTGCTAACCAATCACCCTCCTCCTCATTCCCTGGCACAAACCCTAACAGCTGACTACCCACCCTCCTCCTCCTCTGTCCCTGGCACACACCCGAACAGCTGACTACCCACCCTCCTCCTCAGTCCCAGGCAAACACCCTAACTGCTGACTACCCAACCTCCTCCTCCTC